AATCAAACATATTAATAATAATACAAATTAAATATGAATATTGCTTACGTTACTGCATTGCAGAACAAATGATTTTTTTAAGTTTTCTTAGCGACCTTCATGCGATAATCGCTCTATAGAAATAATAAGTATTAAACAAATAGGTATAGAAATTTGTTCATTGCTAGGTTTACTTACTTTTATTTTATATATCAAGTTATATTATTTTTGTAAACAAAAATTATGAAAAATAGTTTTTTTTTTTTTATTAGCTTTTAGAAATATTATATTATAGTTCAACAATTATGTAACAACTAACAATAGTAATTAAGCAATCGACTATCAAATAAATGATAGCCGTAACAAAACAAAAAATAATTAAAATTGCAGTAAAATTAAAAAAATCGTCAAAATTGCATTTATTGCAATATAATAATTTTTTTGTTTAAATTAAGAGTTTAACGAAACATATTTTAAGCTCACTCAGCAATAAATATAAGCATTTACAAAAAAAATGCAAATGCAACAACTTCACTGCCCAAATTATGATCAATAAAATTATTTTATTTTTGAACCTAATAGAACCTATTTAATTTAAAAATTGCTGTTCTGGTTCTAGTACTTTATTTATTAAAAACGGTTTCAGTTTCGGTTCCGGTTCTTAATATTTTATAGATTCCGGCTCCAGTCCCCGTTCACAATATTACCATCCGTTATTGTAATTTTATATTACTTATTAGTTATTATCATAAAATGGCAAGTCAAATCCAGTGGAGGCGCATCAAGTCTTTTCAATGCATTTTAGCTAGGGGTGTTACCGAATACCGTAACGCAACATTTTCGAAAATTTCACGTTTCACGGATTTATTGTTCCCGACTAACACAACAGCTACAAAAACAGGGTGGCCATAATAATAAGACGGCCACACACAGAGGTGCCCGCAGAAAATTATCTCAGTGGGTGCAAAATTAAATTTATGTTATACTCACGACAAGGTAGTCACATATTTACATTATTATACACTGATTTTTTTGTTCATTAAAAAAATCCCAGTGGGTGCAACGGCACCCACTGGCTGTTCTCTGCAAGCGCCCCTGGCCACACACAATACAAACTTATTACGAGTGTAATCGAACATCCAACAGGCAAGGATCATAGGACCCGCTGCACGGCGCCACTGTTAAGAGGATGTCTGTGCACCGTTTGTTTTCTCTCTCTGCAGAGTCTCTGGCCAACGCGCAACATTGAAAAAACCAATCTTCCAGTAATCTTAGAATACAAAGTCAAATAATTATAAAACATAATACTTTTTATCTAACCACATATTCATACTAACTCATTATGTGCATACCAAAAGCCAATAATCTATGTTGTTGTGGCTTAATAATAAAAAAAAAAAATACCGATATGTCAAACCCTCAAAATATTATCCTCTATAATTGATGTAATAGGTGATTTACTCTAAGATAACTCAAAAATATAAAAATCGATTTTAGGTTGAAACGTTTTAACCATGTGGACTGTAGAGCATGGGTCTGAGAGAAAACAAATATTGCGTTAACATCCTCTTAAACTTATCACATTTTGAGGGACCTGACATTCTGACCCCATTGCCCATCACTGCCAGTTATTATATTATAAACATAATAGATATAGATTTTGTTTTCCATAACTATTCATTAAAAGAATAAAAAACAAATAAAAATTCATAGATTTTTAAAACTTTAATATTATATATAAATTAAAATATAGAATTAAATGAAAAAACATAACATGTTTAATAAAAAGAAAAAAAGGAAGTTTTGCAACTAAAATCTTACAAATTTTTTTACAATTTGAATTTGTACATATTAATTAATATTATAATACATCACGTCCAATAAATGAAATTACATTTACTAAAATACCCAATCTAACAATATTATACATATATATATATATATATTCAATATACATGCATAAATATAATATTTAAATGCTTCTTTTAACTTTTAACAACTTTGATAACAACAAACATAATACCTAATATACTATTTAAATTGTAAACGTTTGATTAGTTTTTTTAATAAAAAATAGATAAATATCTAATTGCCACAAATGAAAATAAAAACAAATCTAATTAAAATTCCTAATTAGGTAACTAACGTTTTTGAAAAGGTAGAATTGAATAAATATTTCTTGTGAAAAGATTAACAAAACAACAGACAGTAACAGACACTTGACTACATAACTTTAAGGTTCAGCTGCTAGCCATTTGTTTTTAGATTGATTGGCATCTGTTATGAAATTTATGTTGGCATAGTCAAGGCTGTCTTTATTATCAGTGGCAATAGACTCTAGTTGTAAGTTGTCTATTGGCCGGTAAAACGCAGATGCAGACTCTATGTCAATAACAACATTGGCTAATGACGGCTTAAATAGATCACCATCTGTATCAAGTGGTGCCGTGTAACTTTCTCCTTGATCTGAGGCCAAATCAGACATATTGCATACATTGAACCCGCCAATATGTATATATTCACGATCGCACTCATCCTTGACAACCTGTGACCGTGTATATTCTTCTTCGTTCAGTCCATCTATATTAATGTTCAATGAATCATCATCAATGTCTTCCAAGTCTTCTGATATCGCAATATTAAAACCCGGATCCGCAAAATCAATGGGGGGTTCCACATTGTTATTGATAATATTTACTTTGCTACTAGCATTTAGGTCAGGATTCACTGAATTACTTACGATTGGTAAACATTTCTGTCAAAACCATATTTTAGCAGATTAATAAGAACATACGATTAATATTTTTTAATATTCTGTTGTCAACTTACTTTGTTAGGATGATGAGTAGTGCACAACATACCATTGCCCAGAGGATCTTTAAAAATGTTCCCTTTGACATGCACAGCACAAAACGATTCCACACAAAATTTACATTTGGCTACTACCTTACGTTTATTGCACAAAGAACAGAAATGAGAAGGGCAAATAAATCCGGCTAAAATAAAATAAAACAGGTATCACTTAAATTCATTATATCATATTTTTTGAGGGTAGTTAACTCACATTTCACAATTCTAGTTTTGTTAATGCAACTCAAATGAAAGACTCTGGGACACTTTTTGTTTTTGCATGATAGTTCGGTATGACCTTTTCCACAAATCAAACAAGAACTGTTTTTGTAATACGCTTTGGACTGTAGGAAGTCTTTGTTTATTTTAGTTTTCTTCATGACAACAGTTTTCCTCGACAAAATGTCCTCACTATTTTTTATGATTTTTGATAAATTATTTTTTCCTTTGTTGAATTTTTTATTTGACACAACAGGCTGTACTTTTGTCTCCTTACTTATATCATTCTAGACAAATATACCAATTATTAGTTTTAACTTTAATTCAAAGAAAGTTGTACCAACAAGCATAATTTGTTTTAATCTTTACCAATTCAAAAAGTATTAATGTTTTTGAAGAAAAAATAAATATATATTTATTATTATGTTTTATCCTTATTATTTTTGAGTTTTATCTCTTTTTGAATAACAACATACACTTTTAATTTCATATTCTCAGACAGAATATTTTTTCAAGTACTTTGATAGAAAAAAAAATGAATTTAGTAAGAGTAGTTTAGGAGTTATAAGCATTTAAAGTTCAAATGAGCAGAGTAGTGGACCAATGATGAAAAAAAAACAACATTAAAATACATTGTTTTTAACAGCCAGTTATTTCCCTTCCATGGCACAGATTTTGACCATCGTCTATTTTCTATCTCTCATTTATGTCAACGCTAATGTTAACAGTTAAGATTTTACATTAAGGGGCCCATTGCTAGGTTTTCAAATGTTCCGCAATTCTATAAAATTTGAAAACTAAATTTTATATTTTAGATGTCACATTAATTATAACACTTTTCCCCTAATATACTGCCCGATACCTATTTATGTGATGGTGGGGGGTTGGGTTAAGGGTGTAATGTGTATAGTTATCAAAAAAAATATTCTTCCACGGGAATAACTCGGGCATTGTAAAATTGTCAAATTTTAATAACAATTTTTTTTATCTAAAAGAAGAAAACTTCTTTCAGGACGCATTGAACTCTGATTTTTTATTTTATTTCAAATAATTGTAAAATGTAATTTATAAAAAAAGCTTAAAATTGTATTATTTTTGAAGACATTTTAATAATTTTGAAAAAGTTTAAAATATTGAAAAACGGAGTTTAATGCGACCTGTAGAATGTTACCCTCTATTAAATAAAAAAAATTATCAAATTTGGCTGATTTTACAGATCAGGATCATTATTCCCGTAGAGCATATTTTTGTGTACAAAATTACACTGGCATCGGACGCCTTAATAAAAACCAAGATATTGTAAGCTTGATCAAAAGCATTTAATCATACAGTTTACAATGAAATAAATAAATTTCAGACCAATAGCACAAAAATATGATAGTCACCCTAATGGTTAAAGTTTTTGTATAACTTCAAATTACAGAAATCTGGATTCTTTAGACATATATTTTTAACCAACTGAGTTATCATTCATAAAATTAATAATTTTAAAAATGTGGTAAATAATGATGAGTATGAATTAAAAAATATAAATAATTACAAGACATTTTAATTCAACAGCATAATAACCCAGCACTATCAGTATGTGAAACAAAGTAAAGCAGAGGTCGGTCGCTTTAGTTTCTTAAAGGAACAGTATGGTTTAAAAAAAAATTCAAGGTTCAGAAAGTGTTATATATTCTAAAAAATAGAAATAAGTCAAATTTAAGTTATGTTCAGAGTGATTAGCTAAGTATTTTGGAATTACACAAAGACGAATAATGAAAGAAAATTGCCTCAGCCAAAGATTGCAGAATCTATAAATGTGTGAACCCAGCATTAAAATTGAATGTTTTTGGTGGTCCAGTATTTTTCCTTCATGGTCAGCATATTGACAACCTCTGGTATATAATATCACTACTAGATAATTACAGTCTACAATATAAATGTATGTTTTCTAAATTGTTAATAATTTATAATAGATATTTTATATTCACTTTGGATAAAAATAAATGTCTACTTTTTGCCAGTCTAGTTAAATTATTCCGAGATTTTTCTTGAGGTCTTGTTGATTTGTCTAATTTAATATCATTGCCCTAATAAACAGATTAAAAATACATGAATATTAATATTAATTTATGTCAAATATGAGAAAAATTAATTTATGCTATGAAATAATAAATTAGGAGTTATTTACATATTATGCAACTTAAGTTACTACAATAATGACAAAGTATTTAATTACAGTTATGTTTTCTAATATCTTAAACATTTGTTCAATGTTTGTAAGGTCTTTAGTAGGTTTTCTTGAAATTCTTGTTGTTTTTATATCCTTAGTATTTATAAAGTTCACACCAAGTTCCTAATATTGAACTTTTATCTAGAACTAATGCAAATCAAATCATATATTTAACTTACTTTATTTTCAGAAGAATATAAGGTTTTATCTGTTGATAACTTGGTTAGGATAGGTGATGGCACTGGTAAAAAATTGTTTTTGATCAGATTCTTCTGAAAAAGAAATATTTCAAAATATAAAAGCTAAATAGTAAAATCTAGAAACATAACTCATCAAACTTAAAATATGATACCCGATAAATAAAAATAATTCAATTTTTCTCTCAATATATTGATTAATAAGTTATTTTTAATTTTTGTATGGGATCAAATAAAATAAATGAAGACAATTATTGTTAGTTGATGAAAAATATGAAATTAATATTATTGTAACACATTTTTGTTAAAAGTATAATTGAATAATTTCCTACTTTTTTATAACTGTTGAATTTTCTTTCCTTTTTCACTATAACAGAACTGTCTGTATCCCATGTATCATCCTAAAACACGAAAAGCACATATAAACCTGAAGCAACAACAAATTATAAATAAAATTAGTTCATATATAGTTTTTAATTTTTGTACATAGTTCATATATATTTCAATACCACTAGGTGTTACATTTTATGAACTATGTTTAAAATAAAAAACTATACGAATGAGAAACCAATTTCATCAATATAATTACTAGTAGACATTACCTTGCACGAACTTCATATTATTTTAAAATAGATGAAGTTTTTAAGCACATTGTTAAATACAAAAATTTAAATGTGTAAGTTTAATATAGTTAAACGAGAAATCAAACAAAAGTTTGTAATAAATGAAGCAATTCAAATTAAGAGTGGTTAAAGTGGTTTATATTATATTATTAAATCAAATATAATAAGTAAATGTTGGTTAAGATAAAAAAGCAATATAAAATATAAACAATGGTTTAGTATGTTTTGTCACAATTAAACAATTATCATTCATAAAGTTACATAGTATAAATTCATTAAAATAATTAACAATGTGTACATTTTATTTGTCCAAATTAAAGTATAAAAAAGTATTTACTCTGTATTAAACATAAGCTACAAAATATTATGATGGTTTTGTATTAGTTATTAAAAATCTTACAGTGCAAAAAAAATATTTAATTATTTATCTTGTAATGTCATACTTTTATCAGACGTTTTCTCGAAGAAAGTGTGGACAAACCATTCTTAAGCTTTCTTTTTGAACTAACATTTTCTTCGGATTCTGTAGAATCATCAACTGTAATGTCATCCTAAAAGTAATAAAAAAAATTCATTTACACCAAAAATAAATTATTCATCATAAGTGACAACTAATATACAGACAAATGTAGCATCAACATTCAATACAAATAATTTCTAAAAGTCCATAAAAAAAAGTATAGAAATAAAAACAAAAATTAACATTACTTTATTTTTTGGAAATTACAAAAAAAAAAAATTATCTGTAAGACTTGTAGAATTATGAAAAACAGCAAGATATACAATACATAATGTCATATAAAATTGGAGAAAATGAAGTTAATGAACTGTTTGAATGATTCTTTCAACAGCAAGAAAATATTATATTTGATTGTATCACACACTGAAAATATTGTTAAGACCTGAGATAAATAAAAATAATTAATTTAAGTTAAATTTATTTAAGATACTTATAATAAAACATGTATTAACATACATGTTGGTGCTTGGTTTATCCTTGTGATAATTCATATGTTATATTATGTTATGAGATACAACACTTTCACTACCAAACAAACTTTCACTTTAGCACTAGTTTTTTTTTTTTTTTTAACCTAAGAATTTGATAACAACTATAAAGCAAAGCATACTGAATTAAAATCTAATATTGAATATTTATAATTTTTTATAAAAAAATTATATTTGTTAATTTTATTTATATAAATTATATTTAAGTTTGTAAAAGTTATGTAATATATTTCATAAAAGTAGGTAAAGGCATTAATAATGTTTTTTATCACTGCAATAAATACATTTATTCATCTTTAATCTAATTTATAAACCAGAGACATAACATAATTTAAACTTACCCACATATAACACTCGTACAGAAAATAATAGGATTACAAGAGCTATAGTAATCTGTTCCAAATAATACTAACACTTAATTTAAAAATAGAATAAACAATAAATATAATACCAATTGATGTTAAAAACCTGTACATTCACCTTAAAAATAATTATCAACTGTTCATAAAAATACAACATAATAATTGATTTTATTATTTTGTTTTAATAATGGTATTAGTATTGTCAAAATTGAACTATAGGTAGTGCAACAAACACATTATTTATTAATTAATTAAAATTCAATTAACACTTATTTTAAATAAAAAAAAAAATTTCTTACTCATTTTTTGTTTTAAGAAATTACAAGTTACAATTATTATTATTAGTATATTAGAATACAATTTCAAAATTAGTGAAATAAATATAAATGTTAAACAATGTAGAACAATTGAAGTAATCAAACAATGGTGCATTTACTGAAACGTAACTAATGCAATAAAAACTTTTAAAGATTGTCCACAAAACAAATTTGTTATGAATTCTTTATTTTATACAGCAGACCAAATTTAGTATAAAATTAAAGTAATAATATAAATTGATGAAAGAGCAAGTGAAAATTTTAATTAAGAATCAATTGATATTTTGAGTTGGTATAAATTATACTGATTCATTTTTCTTTAGTAATAAAAGTATATGTTGCAATCAGTGGAATACACACATATGGGAGGGAGGGAGAAAGGTAACAATATATAAAAATGAATACAGTTAAAGTTTTTTAGATTACCTTCATAATACCTATATTTATAAAAAATAAAAATTAATAATAAACCAAGTATTGTGTTACAGCCACCACCGAAGTTATTATTAGAAATTGGATATTCAAAATTATATTCTATAATATAAACAACTCATTTTATTATAGATATTACTGATTAATGATTATTAATTAGGCTCAGATACATTCACGAGTCGACTGGTCAACAAATATTTATATATCTTTATTAAATCGGTATATCTCTGTATTTTTTGACTATCAAGCTACTGGATTTAGATACCTATATTATTTTTTGCTCAAATTTCTGATATCTTTTTAAATAATTTTACTTCTAAAATATCATAAATCAAAAAGTATTCTGATACGTGGTAATTTTTAAGAATACTCCCCCTATCTTATGCTTAAATTACGCATTTACTGAAATTATGATTTTCGGAATTTTAAATACACTTAAAGACCATATTGTTGAATACTTGAGATTTTCTTGTACTACTTAATGATGATCTTTTGACAATACAAACTTCTGTTTTTCAAATAGGAACCCTTATTTTCCACTTTTAATTATACAGCACATTTTTTTTTTATTTTGATATATTTAAATCAGTGAGTAGATTTTTAATTATATAACTTCGTGTACCAAGAATAATATGTCTATGGTATTGGGCTAAGTAGATATAGGAGCTAAGATGATTTGAACATGTTGGTAATAAATATTAATCTATCAATATAAATAATATAATTAGTAAAATTGATCCAAGCATAATAAATCCTACATCTAATATTTTATTTTATTTTAATATATTAGTTTATATTTTTGTAAAACCATTTCTAAGGATTTTTATATAAAAATGTTAATAAATCAGAAATTACTCAATAGAATTTTGATTTAAATACACTACACTTGCAAGTAAATCATCCATTATTAATTTGCATTAAAAAATGGGGGTTCTCATTTGGAAAATAGAAGTTTGTATCGCCCATTCTTAAGTAGTACAAGTCTTTAGATATGCTTAAAAATTTGAATAAATATACTATTATTAAAGAGAAAAATGAAGGAGAGCATGCTTAAAAAATCACTCTATATATATGATTTTTAATGTAACCCCTCCCTCCCATTTAAAATATCTGTATTAGATATCAGAACTAAAATCTAGTTTAAATGTATTCAAGTATTAAATAAAAATAAATGGACATATTTAAAAATAATTGTTTTGGAATCATGAATTGGAAACAAAAGTTGGAATGTTCTGCAAAACATGTATTGATATACCGGGTGTTAAATGTTAATTATGACGTATGTATATTAAATAAAAACTATTTTGACATGAACATTATCAAACGTTAAACAAAAATATTATTATCAGAGGCTACATAGTAACTAGCAAATATCATTAATTTAATATAATTATAGAAATAAATAAATTTTTAATTTTAAAATAAAATATAAATATGTACAATTACTATAATAAAATATACTCTATACTCCATTCAAGTAAAGAAACATACTCGGCAGTCAATTTGTGTGCAAAGGCATGGCTTTGCTAAACAGCAGATAAAAAACAGTGGTTGACTTACCAGGGGACACGAATGGTTGTGGCCCGACAACCAACAAAAACTTGTATTCATCAAGTAACTTTCTTAAGTTGAATAGAGTATTTAAAATCAAAGATTATACATTATACATAAACATGTCTCACCATGTTTAACCTCATACATATCCACATGTCAATACAATCCTACAACTGCCTAAACTTAAGTTAGAAAAAATTATACTCAGGAAAAACCATGTATACATAATCTTATACAATAATACTTGATCATTGTTAACAAAAATTATTTAGTATTAAAAATTTGATTTTTAAACCATGGTTAGAAAAAAAGATGAAATGAAGATTTAAAATGAAAAACATTACAAAACACATTGATTATAACTTATAAATATTTCTTTGAATATGTACAAAGGAAACCTAACATTTTTGATATTGTGAGTTAATATAAATAAATTTTTAATTATTGAAAAAGATAATTTATTAGAATAGCGATATAATACAAAGTGCAGTTAAGCGTATTTAAATAAAAAAATATTATATTCAAAATGATTTTGCAAATTAATGATACTTTTAACAAACATATATTTTCATTTGGACAATAAAACTAAAATATACTAACAGTTAATATTTTGTTCTGTTTAATTTGGTATACCATATTATGTTTCTTACACAATAAAAATTACATATCTGGACTGGGTATAACCGGTTTAATTGATTACATTTGTGAATAAAAATTCTTATTATAGCATTTCCTAATTGGAACTTAAAAAATTAAGGGCTGTTCTTGCAATGTCCGGTTAAAGTTAACAGACACTTAACTGGCCCAATTCTGCCAGTAATAAAATCTGTTATCAGTCAATTAGCATTAACCGACACTTTACCGGACATTGTAAGAATGGCCCTAAATTGTTTAAAAGTTATTAAAAATATATACATTTATATTTTATTACTAAAGTTTTCAACATATTTAATAATTGTACACGTCAATGATTTTATATAATATTATAATATAGGATAATAATAAATTAATAACATACAAATTGATTTTTGAATCAAGTACTTTATGTACCTAAATAATTCTGATAATTTTCAAATAGATATTTTTGGTATTCTAAATTAAAAGGAGAACAAAAAGTGGTAGATATTACAGAATTACTAAAACCACTATAAAAAATGTATAAAAATTCACTTTTCAAAATTTAAATCAATAAATTTTATAGTTAACATTAAGTTTAAAAGGTAATTTAAATTTAAATTGATTTGTCAGTTATTAAAATTAGAAATTAAATGTTAATAAATTAAAACAAACTATGACAATATGACATAGATTTATAATTACAATGTAGATCTCTTAATTGTTTTTTTTGTTACATACTTTGGTGATATTGGCGATGTTCTTAGCTGAATTTTTCCATTTCCCCTTTACAACGGCAGGTGTTTCTGAGGGTTCCGAATTTGCATTCTAACATCAAAACCAAAAAGAAAAATAATTAATTAAATAATAAAGTATGAGTCAAATATTAAGTCATTAAAATATACTTTTAAGGTAGTTGATGATTTGCCAATAGATGTTTTAGATTTGGATTTTTTAGAAAGTACAATTTTCTCAGCATTAGATGCTTCAGCCTATATACATTTATTTGATTTTTATTAAATACATTTTTATAACAATATAAAATAATAAAAGCCAATTGTTTTAATTTATTTATTACCTTATTTTCAGTTATCTTTTGATCATTGCTAATTACTTTAGTTAATTTTGACTTGTCTGAATCAGAAACATTATCCTAGGAAATAAAGAAAATTTACTTTACAAAAATGAATAATAAAATAAATGAAACATCTAAATGTTTTAAGTATAAATTATACATACACAAAGAATAAGGATAGGCCACTATGATTTAATAGTAATAAAGTATTAGTAATACTAGTAATAGTAATAATAGTATTAAGTAGTAATACAGATCAAATTGAAATCCTAGTAGCACAATTTTTATTCTAACTGAGTAAACAAATGCATTATGTTGGTTTAAGAATTTAGCTATATTACATTGGTATATAATTACCTTCAGTTTTAACGGTTTTCGTTTGTTTTTTGAAGAAACCTTGCACTTATCCACATCGTTACTTGAAATCACTTTCTTTTTCTCTTCTTCCTATGAAATTAAATATTTAAATTTATTTTAAAACAATGATCACTGTATTATATTCATAATTCTGTGTTTAGGCTTATGCCTGCCCCATAACCATAATTTGTGGAAAGAAGGCTCTATACGTTGATAAAACATCTGAATCATCCATATAAATACTAGCAAAGTTTGGTGCGGTCTAACAATCTCTTTGAAGAGGATTCTATGTAGACATTTGTTGTCTCAGTCTTATAAATGTGTAGCTTCGCAAATTTTACGCTCGGCAGATCACATTTAGCTCATTTAGCTCTGTTAGTTTAAAAGTCAGAGTGAATTGACCTCTTTATAAAATTGAAAGGTAAGATTATTATATAAGGCATCTCATATGCTTTTTGTTATATTTTAATTTTAAAGCGAGTATTTTAAGATGTACAAAGAATTTACAATTTAAAAATACTCTTAACTAGCTTTAAAATGAAAATATAACAAAAAGCCTATGAGATGCCCTAGATAACCATCTCACCTTCTAATTTTATAAGAGATAATATTCACTCTCATTTTGAAACTAACGGAGCTAAATGTGATTTGCTGAGCGTAAAATTTGCGATGTTACACATTAGTAAGACGGAGACAGCCGTCTTACCGTGTAAGATAATACACCATACATTTTTAACACTTAAAATGTTAACATAATAAACAATAATTACCACTTTCACTCCAATAAATTTAGAACATCTTGTAGCTCCACATTGACAAGGTTTTTTCTCTACTCCCGAGCAACTCTGCAAACGGTAATCAAAAACAAGCTCTGTACCAGTTGGAATGTCGTGTAAAGCAAAAAGCCCAATTCTAGTATCTCCATTCACTGTCCATTTTTGGGTTACACAATTAGGTTCACACGAATGGTTCATAAACCTATGGTAAATAAAAAAAAATATTTAATTCAAGGAAATGTTAAAATAAATATGCTTACAAAATAACTTGTTAACCATTTTATCATAAATAACACAAACTAAAAATTAAGGTTTTTAAATATTTTATTCTAAATTTGTTATATACTTTGTATAAAGTATGATTACTAAATAAACTAAAAATATTTATATATATCAAAATTAATTCTTAACTTAGCAATGGTAAAGTTTTTTTTTTTTTTTATTGATATTTAAAGCAAGGCGACTATGGCCATTAGCTGATTGTGGGGTTTTATGATTGTAGGTAGTAGGGTTTGTTTGTAATGGTAGGGTTTTTACGAGGGTGTGTTGAGTTTGGCAGAATTTTTGATTGGGCACCAGTAGGTATCTGCCATGCCTGGGTGGGGGATGGCAGCACTTGTTCTCCGGACACCGTGACTTGTCTGTGGCCAAGGAATCAAACTCGAGTCGACTGCATAGCAGCCGACGCCTTAGTCGGCTCGGCCACTCTGTGGTAAAGTGTAAATAAAACTAATAGTACAAAAATTACAAAAATATTTATTAGGTACTAACTAAAACATTGAACAAAGTAGGAGGTACTAAGGTACTCAGGAGACGCCTGTGGGATAAATTGCACAACGATGATTACAAGTTGAGTCATCAAATATAATCATTAATCATTAAATTCATTGACTAATTATAAGCCAAAAGCATGTCTTGTACAAGCATTTCGATAGTACTATCAAACCCTGTACACCCAGTACAAGAACACAAGAACACATGGACGGAGTAGTCTTTGACATCTATTCATATCATTTTTGTATGATTGGAAACAAATTACATAGCAGATATTCAATGATAGATAAAAAAATTAATTAAGTTTTATTCACTTCCCAAATTCCTCTTATTAAAATTAAATTGTCTCATTTATTATTATTATTTGAATTGAATATTAAATAAATGAGGGTAGATAGTAGTTACTGTTCTCGTTATCTCTTTTGACACTTAAACTTTGTCAGGGTAGGTTAAGTTAATAACTTAGAAATTGAGAAACATAATTTTAATTTATAAGAATTAGTTTTTACCTTGATAAATTTCCTTTTGGCCCAGCGTCAATTGTTCTAGAATTATCTATAGTCAAAAAATAATAATTTTGTTCATTTCTTTGATGCATTTCCAAGCATCTCCTTTGAAATTCTTCTTCATCAATTACGTCACCAACATACTCGATCACAAATGAACCTTAATTTTAAACAATCATTATTAACACTATTTTAAAATTACTAAAATGTTTGGTATTATCAAACCTTCTTTTATATCTTCTAGTGTCTTAAGGCCCCAACCTCTACCTTTTGTCAAAAACGGGACCATAGCAGGGTACAATGTTTTTTCAAATCTTTGGTTATTACATTTGTCTCCAGCAGGACATACTTTTGGTTCACATTCAAACATAAGCATTCTATAAGTTAATTCAAAATTAAGAAAAACAATATACAAAACTAAAAAAAAACTTTAATAGGTAATTTGGAAATGTTGTAAATAAAATACCTATTTATACAATCAGAACCGGGACCACATGGGTTTGGCTTTGTCGGATCACATTCACAGGGAGTCATTGCGGTAATATCGAATTCCATATTTTTGACATTGCCAATGGGTTTGTTGAATTTTATTCTTGTAAATTTTGGAGGCTTCTATAATAACAATAAAATAAAAAGTACATTATAAATTATTAATCAAAAATCATATATAACATACCGTAAAAGATTTTGCTACTATAGCATCATTTTTTTCCTTTTCTAAAATATAAGCACTATGAGCTTGAGCTGCTTCTAAAATAGAATCTTGAAACACTTTATCTATAACTTTCATATTATTTTTTGTTAAGACATTCTCATCATCCTAAAATAAAGAACACATTTAGGGCATAGCTTCAGTTTTATAAAAAATAGAGCTAATTTTTTTCTGATGCGATTTTGTAATGCTAGTATTAGACACAACCAAACTAATTTTCATACATTTTTTTTTATTCTAGATTCATAAACAAGTTATAATTACCCCTTCATGAAAGTTAAATACTCGTCCTCGATTTACCCAATAATAATCATATGTTCCAAAAAATCGAACAGCAAATTGTCCAACAGAATGTGATATTGCACTTACAGTATCAGGAACTTCATTTGGAAAAATAATTTGAGCAGGCCACCACCTAAAAATAAGTATAATTAGAAATATTTGTAAGATTAATTTACAAAATTAGATATTTCATCACTAAATGTAATCCACATTCAATTTAGCTTTTCAACAGCAAATATACAATTTTTCCTATTCAAAAATTAGGGAGAAAACAACAATATTTAATAAAAAAATTATAAAAACATATAATAATTTTTAAATTTATCAGTGATATGGGCTATTTACCAAAACAATATACATTTTTGGTGCCTAGTATCCCACAAATGAGATAAACTGATCCTGTAGTGGTAGGTGCTGTTTTGATGGGGATTGACTAGTTTGATTATACTCCTGCCACTCGCTGGTAACAGAATTGATATAAATTATATAGCTAGATAAAACCATCAATTTTTTTCATACAGACATACAGAGCATATATATAATAACAAACATTTTGTATATGTTACTTTATTATTACTATTTATAAGAAATGTCTAAAACATGTTCTGTGTAAATTGTGAAAGTATATAGATATATAATTTATATTATTTATATGAATTTGGGTACCAGCAAGTAACAGGAGGATACCAAATCAATTAAGTCAAAAACACGAAATGAAAGTTTATAATGTAAATACAGATTAAATCATAAAATTAAGGAAGTCAGAAACTATAATTTCTGTAATAAATATTTAAAAACATCTGTGGTCAAAAAATTATAATCAATACCAATGATGCCACTAAACATGGAAAAAATTATAGATTAGCTATTTTTTCAGAAACTTGTGATCTCAAAAATAAATAATGTTAATTATTTAACACTGTAGTGATAAATAAAATCAAGAATCATACCTATAGTTCCCAATCTTAACCCATACAATTTCACCATATAGAGGATATCGTCCAGTTTGACATTCTTCACAAGTAAAACCGCCTTCAAATTCTGATGGGTCCTGATTTAAACAATCAATGTGGAATGAAGATGGACACAAATCACAGAAAACTAATGAACCACCTCCTTAAAAATATAAAATATTTTTGATAGAAACCAAACCAACTTAAACATTTGATATAATAATCACCTAATGCACAAATAAAACACCAGGTAGCATTATAATGATAAATTTGCACTTTAACAGGTTCAAAATGTCGACTGCAAATAATATCATTGTATGTTAAGACTTGACAACCAGCTGGTAAACAGTATTCACCTATAAATAAACACAAAATATAAACATTGTAAATTATGAATTATATTAAAAAAGTATTACTTCTATGATAGGCTGTTGGGCATTTTATACACCGGGTTATTTTTTCAGCGGGAAAATGAGTTGTACATGAACTTTTAGGGTTATCCGAAATGCATAAATGACAAACATGATGTGGACATACTACACATCGGACATTGTTCCGTGACCCTTGAATCCACTGACATTGAGGCCAATCTTTTAAACATGATTCATGAAAATATTTTCCACAGCTGGCTAAAAATAATAAATTTATTTTATTTATCAGTAAGTCTTATTATTTAACATTTTGTGTTGATTCATAGATCTAGCACATACTTTACAGCCTAAATTTAGTATAACAATTCAAAACATATAAACTAATTCATAAATTGTTCAGTTTTTAATGCTTCAAAATGTAATTTAATAAAAACTTTAATGTAATGATTTCATGACTTTTTTAAATTTTAATTTGTTAAAGAAATTATGACTATCAGAGTTGAAAGAACTTTTAATTCATGTTTTAATTTTAATTGTTATGAAACTATAAAACAGCTCATATAATCATATTAATATCTGTTAACATTGTATTATCAATTATAATAAGACAAAAGTAAAAATAATTCACTTATTTTTGATATGTTAACTTACATATTTTACAAACAATCTTTTGTCCAGGATCGTCAATATCCAAGCCACACACAAAACAGTTTGTTTTACCAGCTTTACATAGGCTGCACATATATTTTAAATTGTCCAATGATATTTTTTCATCTATGTTGATTTGTACAGTTGGAGTAACATTTTTTTCTTCAGATGTTCCCGAAATAGAATCTTCATTTACACTTTCTAATTCACTTTGAGTATTATCATTTTCAGTAAGAATGCAACTTTCATTTTTAAATAGTTCATCCGATTCAAATTGATTAAGTGATATGGTTTCTTCATTAGTATAACTAGAACATTGGGTTTGAGATAAGGTTTGTAAGCCATTAGATTTGACGTCATGGTCTTTTTTAAATAATTTAGCAGTGTTTTCTTCTTCTAAGTTATTTATAAGCTGAGGATTATCAACTATAGAACCTTCGTTTTTCTGTGTGATTTTTGAGTAATTTCTTTTACGGCGACCAGACGTTTTTTTAATTTTAGTTTTAGTCATTGGTATACTTTTGGTCTTATTATATCTTTCCTCGCTCTTATTTAAACATTCTTTATGAAAATAACTTTGACATGGGCCCAAACATTTAACTGTGTCTTTAACATTTTTACAAACTACACATGCTCTTTTCCAGGTTTTTGTAAAAAGCTGTTTGTTTTGTGAACTAGTTAAGAAAACTGAACTATATGTTTCATTTTTTGAAGAAGCTTCACTTTCTGTTGTATCTGGTTCTGGGCTACTTTCATGTTTAACTGTAGTAGATTTTCTGAAGACCAAAGAAAATAGAAAATTAAAATTAATACAAAATAATTAATTTTATTAATAAAAAACCATAAACAATTATATAATTGTTTTATCAATAGATAATTTTATTTTAGTTTTCATAAAAACATAAGTATATCTTTTAGAAATAATAACTTTCAGTTTAAAATGTTACCTTCCAGTAGAGTTTTCTTTTTCAATAAGTTGTTTTCTAGTAACTGTTTTCTTAGAATTGGATGAACTAGAATACATAAAATATTTAATTTTAGTTGCTTGAGTACTTGACTATAAAAAAATTATCTAGTCGAAAAAATTAACGTAGTTGAATTTATTTTATACTCATCACCATGAGTACTATTTTTTTGGGAAAAATAAATGTAAAAACTTTAATTATACAACCACAATATTTGTATGTTGCGTATAGGTAAGCGAGCAATACCTTCAAAAGCACGAGCAACTTTCAGTACTAATTTAGAATACTCAAGAATTGTTGATAATACAATACTTAGACCATTTCAAGACTTAACTTTTGAAATAGACTAAAAAAAATGAATGTTCAATTCAACTTGTTTTCAAAAAATAATACACACATAACTCTATTTAATTTATATCACTAAAATTATACCTTTGTAAACGTGTAGAATGATCACCGTTAGTTAAATTGATTTCTTTATTTGAGCTGGTACTGCAATTATAAAATAATATTTAAAAACATAATAATATACCTTTATAATGAACAAATACACTAATAATTAAATATATTTAAATTTACTTTATATGAATTGTATTTTTTTTTTTTGAACGACGAGAACTTGGAAAAATTATTTTATCTTGATCATATTCTCCTTCTAATATGCTAGAATTTATAATATTAAAAAAATAAGATCAATTCATTTTTTATCTCTAGAAGAAAAAATATATTAATTTGACATTCCAATAACAGAAAACATCTAATTAATAAAGAGGGGCTTGGCAAATCGGTAGTTGACCAGAGTCACTTAAGTGCGTTGAGGTCAAGCATCGTCTAGCGTCACTAGCTCTCTGACGAATGACCACCCTGGTTTTAAGTGACAAATCCTAGCATCAAAATCCACATACACACAAATTTCTTAAGGGGGGGATAAAGTCAAAAATCTCTGTTAATACGCAGAAACTATTTTTTGTTTTTACAAGTAATAAAACAATTAATACAAACTAAAATGACAGTAGGGACATGCCAACCTCCCCTCCCTAACATACGCCCATGTTTGACATCTTTTCCTTATTATAATATTTATATATTAAATATATATATATATATATCAATATAATATATAAATCAAATCAACTAAAATGGTAAATATAAAATCTATCCTACAAATATATATTATACAGGATGATTTTTTACACATGCTAATCCCTATTCTTTCCCTTAATACTACATTATTTAAATTCTCAGATTTTCAGAATTTTTAAGTATACCTAACCTAAAGACCATATTTTTAAATTGCTGATATTTTTTGTACTACTAAAGGCGTATCCTGTGGCGAACAAACATCTATTCCTCAAATTAGAACCCTCCTTCTCCACTTTTACTGTAAATTATTTAAAATATGGTCTTTATGTGTAATTTAAAAATTACAAAATCAGAATTTAAATACGTGTATAATTTAAGCATAAATATAGTGAGAGCTTAAATAATCAAACTGTATATTAATTATTTTACTTGAATTAAAATTTTTTTTTTTACCTTATTTCAAGTTTTCTATGATGAGGTAACAAACGAGTAGAAGATGTTGTGGTTGCAACTGGGTATTTATCTTGATTATCAGATAAACTATTACTATCATTATTTTCTGGAGAATTCATTATTGAATAAGATAAATCATATTTATTGGCAACTGAACTTTTTGGTGGATACGTTTTTGTTGATCTTCTTTTTTTTATAGTTTCCTGTTTTACTTTTAAACCTAAGTCTTCTCTAAAAGCATAGCTCATAGAAAAATCAGAAACAGTACTATCCGCATCATCTGATCTTGACAGTAGAGGAATGTCTATTGATCCTGATGATGTACAATTCATAGCTATGTTTTCAGTCTTCATTATTTTGGAATCATTATCTTGTTCAGGAACTGCTAGAGATCTTTTTCTTGAATAAGTACGTACTTTTAAAGCCTTAGAATAATATAAATTCAATATTTAATATTCAATCAATTAACAGCTTGATCAATAACAAATAATATTTTAACTTACAGCAACAGTGCCTTCAGATGATTTATTTAAAACAGATGGAGTTACAGAATCTGAATTACAAAAAGATTTGAAAAATTCTATCAATCTCGATTCTCTGAAATATAAAATACATATTGTATAATTAATAAAAATATTTTTGGTATTATAAGCAACTGTATTCAAAATATACCTATCAAGTTTCATCAAATTATCAGCTTCTTCAACTGCCAATTCCCACGTATCAATAAGCTTTTTACTATTCTTAAAGTAAGTCTGTAAATATTAATAATTATCAAATACAAAAAATTAAAAATTAATCTTTTACAACTTATATATAATTATACTAAATTAATTTATACTTACTAAAGTATTAGGATACTTTAAAAGTAATTCACATTTTCCATTGTAATTTTCAGTAGTTGTGGCCCAACTTCTTCTACCTTTATCATTACAAAAGCGGACATGGATCAATAATCGCTTTTTTTCTTCTGAAAAAATATAATACATTATAAAAACTTACATAAAAAAATGTAACTAACAAATTAAGCTAATAAAGGTCAGCAAAAATAATAATGTAATATTTAGTCACAATAGTACCTAATTTACAATTAACTAGAACATTTTGAAGTTAATTCATTTAAAAAATGATATGCCTCAAGTGTTATGTTAGTTATTATAATATTATGTTATGTTTTTAACAATATAATATTCTTTTAAAACTTAATTAATTAAAAGTTACATTAGTAATTAAATCATGAAATTTGAGTAAGTATATTATTATAAATTGCTTACTATAATGAATATTCAATGTTGGGTCAACACAGACAATACTTGGCCAATATGGATACTTCCCAATTTTAGCCCAAACAATATCACCAACCTTGTAATCCTCAATTTGCTTAGAACCAGTAGTAGCAGGTTTGTCTAATAATGAATCAAAAACATCTACATTCATATCATTAAGTGAATCTTGAAGGGAAGGAGTAATTAGTGTATTGACAGGCTCATCAATATTTAAATGAGACGAATCAGAAGGTAGTGGCGTATTCACAGCCTCATCACTATTTAAATTAAATGTATCAGACAGCAGTGGTGTATTCAAAGCCTCATTGCTACTCAACAAATTGTTATTTTGATGAGACGTATCAGACAGAAGTAGTATATTCACAGCCTCGTCACTATTTACATGAGATGTAACAGACAGCAGTGGTGTATTCACAGCCTCGTTGCTATTTACATGAGATGTAACAGACAGCAGTGATGTATTCACAGCCTCGTTGCTATTTAAATGAGATGTATCAGATGACAGAGGTATATTCACAGCCTCGTCACTATTTACATGAGATGTATCAGACAATAGTGGTGTATTCATAGCCTCATCGCTAATCAACAAGTTGTTATTTAGATGAGATGTAACAGACAGCAGTGGTGTATTCACAGCCTCGTTGCTATTTAAATGAGAAGTATTAGATGACAGAGGTATATTCACAGCCTCGTCACTATTTACATGAGATGTAACGGACAGCAGTGGTGTATTCATATCTTCATTGTTACTCAAAAAGTTGCTATTAAGATGAGATGTATCCGACGGCAGTGGTATGTTCATAGCCTTGTCGTTACTCAACAAGTTGCAATTCAAATGATCAGTCGGCAATGGTGTATTCTCAGTCTCGTCGCTACTTAATGAGTTGCTATTTAAATGAGATATATTATTCGGTAGCACAGGATTTTTGTCAAAAATGAGGACATCGATCGCATTTGGTTGACCATTATCGTTAACATAGTCGTGGCTAGTTTCTAAAAAAACATTAACCGGTTCGGTAATGTCGGCCATCGTGTTAAGAAAGTCAAACCTGTAACAACAAATTTATAATAAAGCACACAATTCAAGGGTTCCTCTATATTGTTACAGTCATCAACTTTCTGCAAAACATATAATACATCAAAAGGTGCTTTGCAAGACATCAGGAGCACTCCGCCACACAGCATTTGAGTATCGAAATGTATAACAATCGCACCGTAATAATAATAATCTTAGCAAAGGAACAACACAGAACACCAACCTAGATCATTAATTGAAGACTGAACGCTCGTATAACCACGGTCAACAGCTACCAGTGACTACATTAACAAGGTGAAGTTAAAATAGGCTTGAATTAACGGACATTCACTTTCTTACCGTTAGTTATTTTATTTAAGTGTAAGAGCAGAAATAACCGTAGTTTATACAGCTTTCGGTTTTCGATTAGTGACCTGGGTTGGTGTTCTGTTTACAATGTTTACATGTCTTGGTAAGATTATTACAGTGCAATCGTTATACAGTTTAGTTTATTTGTAATCTTTTAATATTTGCTAATAAGTATTCAGTACCTCTGATACACGGCGATGAAAATTCTGTCAAGACATGACGTTCAATCCCTAGAGACTTTGGTACGTAGGTAACGAACAGAAATAAAGTTTATTAAATAAACTAGCTCGGCCCTAAAGTCTCTAGTCCTGATCCTCCAGCATCAACAGTAGTAGAGTATAGTAGATTTTTTTTCAGTCTAAAGAGGCAATCGTCGAGTGACATTTAGTTAGAATTCCGCGTCGAATCATGTTAAAACAAATATCGAATTTATAAATGCATTTTGACACTACCTAGGCATATCACTATCACTATACGTACACTCGTACAACAGTAAATAGTACATCAATTATTAAATTATAATTGATAATTAATAACTAAAATTATTAATAAATTATTAATAATTATAATATTATGTATATTATAGTATATTGTATGCGTGAGTGATAAAATGGTAGTTGAAGCAAGCGGTAACAGAAGCGGTAACCAGTTAACGCGCACCAGTGCGCCACCCCAACGATACTGTCATATGCCATAGCCCATAGTACAGACAAAACGAATAAATACAATTGTAAATTATTATTTTTACCAAAATGAAACCGATAACCTGTTATATACCTATACAGGAGAACATTAGACCGACCGTTACGTCGAGAGCTCGCGTCGCACTAATGCCAACCGTCCCGCTACTGAGCCCTGCTGGTGCCGTTTCAAATATAGATGGCGCGCGCATATTGACGGCGAAGATAAAATTATGCCGCAATAATATGGCATCCATATTTTGTCATAAGGCCCGTTTCACATGAACGCGTATCATACGCGACGTATCGTAAGGCGCACGTTTTCCATTTTACATTGATTAAGTTCATACGCGCCAACGCGAGGGAACGCGCCATCGTCGGAGTGGCGCGTATGAATTTGACCAATGTAAATTAAAACGCGCGCGTACGATACGTCGCGTATGATACGCGTCCATTTGAAACGGGCCTAAGGCATCAAACTGTGAGAAATCATGGCTAAATAAATAATAATATTATGCTATTTGGCCATGTGTCACGTACTCACGTGTTGTAATATTGTGTGAAACGGTGAACGAAGTTTTCATAATATAGCACATTAGCACAGACTAACAAGATAGGATTAATAATTACCTATTAGAATTCTATCTTACTATCTCGAGTCCGTGTTATAAAGTGACGAAAATCTATAAATAAATAACAATTTACGAAACCGGTATTTTAGCTATTTACACTATTTATGTAACCTGTGTAAGCTCGGATATATGAGTGTTGGGTGGGGGGGGGGTAGTTTCACGGTCCCAGGGCCTAAACCACCTACCTACCTATCAAGGTTTATAAATAATACTATCTATAAGCCTTGCCTACCTATAACAATATAATATGCTTCTATATACAAGATACAGTTGTCAGTTTTACTGTTTATTCAAAATAATTTACAAAAAATTAAAATTAAAAAAGTTGGAAGTTAGACACTTAACCAACGGAATGTCGCAATAATTAAATCATAATGAATAATACCTAAAAAGTTTGTAAATGAGTGAAAATGAGAATTTTGAACGATGTAGATTTAATGTACTTTCCTAATACCTACTCATTAAATCGTACTTAACTGACCTCAACTTTCAAGTATGTTATGGCTCCTCTGTCTCAAGTATAGCTTGTATAAATGCAGGTGTTCCTCAAGGTGGTATACTTTCCTCGATTCTATACAACATTTACGCCTCAGATCAACCTACTACAGTACTACACCTTACACGCTAATCGCAGAATAATATGCGGACGACAAAGTTATAATAATTTCTATTGATGTAGACCCTCTGTTAGTTTTTAGAAACGTACAAAATCACCTACATCTTATGGAAAAATGGTATACTAACTGGAGATTCAAAGTCAATCAAGATAAATCTTATCTCACTACCTACATTCACTCTAAAAATGGCTCCATGTAAAAACGTTACTTTTTATGGAATCCAAATTCCCTCTTCCCAAACAGTTAAATTCCTATAGGACCAAACCCTACGAGAGGCAGGCCTCCGAGAGGGCTAGTAGCTCGGCCAAGTCCACCAGGTCTTATCACCCCAAACTCGGTAATTAGATCAGCACTCGGCAATTTAAGGATTTTATTCCCAATTAGGTAAACATAATAATGTTATACATAATAATTTCTACGTTTTTTTTCTAAATTGCTTATTTTAATTATTATTAATTTCCGTATGTGTATGGTATGTGATTATCGTAATATTACTAAATCTATTATCATTGGTTATAGATATTATAATTATATTCAATAGCATAATGTACCTACTATAATTGTGTATTTGTGTAAACGAAGAAAAACATAACAAGGAATATAAATCGGCATTTGGTGTACAGAGAATTTTATTACACAATACTATTTGGCCAAGTTCGGTAGACATGCGCAATGCTCCCTGCATGGTTGAGCATTTTGCATTTTATATATTTTTAATTTTATAAAAGCATTTTCTATACAACATAACATTTGACTTAAAAAAACTCCTCATATGTTTGTATACCTTAATAAAAAAAAAAAATCTACTGGAAAGTTAAATTAAATTTTTATGAGGGTTCAAATTAAGTAAAATTTTTTACAAAATTGGATATTCACTCGAGCCATTTTGTTAGATTTTTTTTTTCATTTAAATTAATTTACAAAATATTAGTTAATGCTAAATGCATCAAAAATTTGTTTCTATTAAATTATTGTATTACAAGTATTATTAATGAAATAATAGTAAATTGTAATAGCCTAGGTACGTATACTCTTATGAGAAATCTTTGGATACAAAATTACAAAATATTTGGTACATAAATATAGATATCAAATAAAATCAAAGCAATATAATATTTATATAGGTCGATTATTTTTATAAGAAAACACCCAGATAGTGTGTGGTCTCGGTTCAATCCAACAGAACTAATTACCTACTAGGAAATTATAAATTACTGATTCGACGCATTTCCGCATGTTGAAACCTGCAAGTTGTTTATTTGTACCCTGTAGGGCTGTTGAGTGGCGACAAATTTAGCAATGCCAAATGGCTAATAATAACTAATAATACCATTGATTATAAGTACTATATAAACTAATGTCTAATACTAGTATTTTGTATATTTTATAACAATCAATGATAATACAGCAATAAACACGGACTAAGATATACAGGACTGGACACGAGATGAATATTGTGGTTACGAAATGTTTTACAACAGGCGGAGTTCGGGGGGATATTTTCCTTTTAGCATTACTAGCGCCGTCTTAGTGGATACTTATGGAACTAGAAATTTGTATGATGTGTTCTAGTTCCATAAGTATCCACTAGGACGGCGCTAGTAATGCTAAAAGGAAAATATCCCCCCGAACACTGCCTGTTGTAAAACATTTCGTAGTCAACCCCCCACACCCTCCAACCTTGTCGTGTCCAGTCCTGTATATCTCAGTCCGTGGTAATAAATATTAATTTTGTATTATTGGTCACTTTACTTTGGTCATTGTTATTTTTATAAATAATATATGTAATAAACCCAAACAAATTAGCCGTCTCAACTCAGAATCGTTTTTCGTAGACAATGATATTATTATGGCATTAAATTCAAATTTAACAACATCCATTACAGGGACTCACTTGTAACCTCTGTACAGAAGAGCGACACTCACCGCTTTTTTGCATTTGGAGTCGGCTAATAGTATACTTTGAGTCAGCAAATTTCTGATAGTTTATATTACCTATATGACAACGACACATATGTTATATGTTATATGTATATTATTATATCTTCACAGACTGCAGTACAAATTATCAAATATTTTATAGCAGTATAATCTGCTTATAATCGATTGTGTATAATAGATTACATATATAATTTTGGATTATTCATAGGTACTTACCTACTTTTAGTACAGTTTCAGTAGTTATAGTTCAGACCTGTTCAGTAGTCAGTACAATGGTGACTATAGTGTGTATCAGAGTATTTACCCTCGGGGGATGGGGTTATTAAGGGGATCAAACCCCCGACGGGGCCCCGGCCGTATATCATTTGCGCATCGTCTATTAGTCTAATTACCTGTGCCAAAATATCGTACATCATATTATGCTCACAAACATGATGAACAATTAGAAGGGTATAAAAATAATTTTTAACTGAAAATTCAATGATTGCCATACTATATGTAATAATTATAAATATATACAAACAACTAAAAATAAATTGCATTAATTAAATTGAAATTGTATAGTCATAATTATATAAATTTACGCATACCTATACCTACATTATATATAGATAATGAATAATATAAGATACTTAAGTTTAAAAATAATAAATATACATATCAATATGTTTTTGTTGAATATAATCATTTAAAGTTCCATTTTGACAAATTCTCCAAATTCTCCAAGTTTTTTTATTTTTATTTTTTTATTAGTACTTAAATTTTTTTATTATTTA